GAAGTCAATGACTACTATCAAGACGACCACTCCCGACACATTGATGTGGATAAGACTGTCGTTAAACCTCACCATCACAAGGCTCGTGGAGGACACGAACATGTGGACGTGATCGGTGGGCCTAGCGGAGTTGATACTGGCAACACATTTGACATGCCCATCACCAGCAAGTTTTCCTCCGAGGTGAATGAGTATTACAGGGATGACCACTCGTGGGATGTGGATTATGATAAGACGATCGTGCGTCCTCACCACAAGCGACAGCATGGTGAGCATGGCGAGCACGTTGATGTGATTGGTGGACCCGGAGGTGTCGACATCGGGAACACCTTTGACCTACCGATCACAAGCAAGTTCTCCTCGGAAGTCAACGACTATTACCAAGATGACCACTCGCGGGACCTTGACTTCAACAAGAAGATTGTTCACAAGCGCCAACACGGTGATGACGTTGACCTGATCGGTGGACCGGAGGGCGTCGACATCGGAAACACATTTTCGCTGCCGATCACTAGCAAGTTCTCCTCCGAGGTCAATGATTATTACCAGGATGATCATTCGTGGGACGTTGATGTTGACAAGAAGCTTGTCCACAAGCGCCAACACGGTGATCATGTTGACGTGATTGGCGGACCTGGAGGTGTAGATACTGGGAACACATTTGATATGCCGATCACCAGCAAGTTCTCCTCTGAGGTTAATGATTATTACCAGGACGACCACTCTCGCGCCATTGACACCGACACCACCATCGTACACCCACATCACTACAAGGCCCGCGGCCATGGCGAGCACGTTGACGTGATCGGCGGGGCTGAGGGTGTTGACATTGGCAACTCAGTTGATATCCCTATTAGCAACTCCTTCAAGTCCAAGGTCAACGAGCAGAGCTATGACGATCATTCGGTCGACATTGACATCAGCAAGCATCATGCCCGCCGGGGAGAGGACTTCAGCATTCTGGGAGGCCCGTCTGGTGTTGACATCGGCAACAGTGTGGTGATGCCTTTCACCAACACTGTCGATGTTGAATCCAACAGTTATCACAAGGATGATCACTCCGTGCACGCACAGGTTACGACCACCATTGTCGCGAAGCCTCACGGGCACCCTCAGCCTCCCACTCACAACGCTCCCCCTCCGCCCCCAGCTCCAGCTCCGGCTCCTGCCCCTGCTCCGGCCCCTGCACTGGCCCCTGCACCTGAGCCAGCTCCTGAGCCAGCCCCGGAGCCCAAGCATGAAGCCCCGGCGCCTGCGCCAGAACCCAAGCACGACCCTGAGCCGGCTCCAGAGCCGAAGCATGACACTGCTGCACCTG